AATGGAAACTACTATAATATTGTTCCTCATGAAGAGGGTCGCTTGACGAGCCGCTTTGAAGATATTGGCTGGTGAAGGCAAGCAGGTGGGCTGGCCGATCGCAAAGCTTTAGGACTACAGCTGAGGGTCCCCAAAGCATCTATGTCAGGTGTATGCTAGGAACCTACTATATGAAAGTGATATGATAAGATAATGGTAGATTCCATGTCATTTTCCATGATCCCTGTTATCATAATGATAGGTAGTCAAAAACCCAACCAACAGCACCCACCGTATTTTCGTGAGAAGTCTGAGGCCGCGGCATGCATCTCCAAAGCTCCCACAGCTGCCAGCGCCCAGCAGGATCCACAGCTGCCCTGCTCCTTCACGAAGCTACTGGAATTCAGCCGGCTGCGCCTGTAGCTCCAGGAAAAACTGGGTTGCTGTTAAGGAACTTAAATTAAGTTTCCATAATGAGTATATATAGTAAATAATAGGGTTTCCTCAATATAGCAACTTGATTTAAGTTCCTTAACAGCAACCCAGAAAAACCAGGCGACTTGTGAAGCGGGTACGAAGTAACGAGCATTTATGTCTAGAAGCAGCAAAACAACTCAGCTTGAGGCCAGTCAATGCTTTCCGGCAGGCCAGGAGGAAGCGCTGAGGAGCCAGGCATGCGAAGCAGACCCGCCATCCTGAATGTCTTCTCGGATTGCAATGACTAAGGATGAGGCCAGAAAGGCCACAGCACTCAAAATGAGACCAGAGTTGGAATGCACTGCAGCCTCTTGCCCCGAATGGTGCAAAAAGGCCATACAGGCAATGCCCTGAAACCCTAAACCCCACACCCCGCCTCTGCCACGAGTCCAACATGCTGGGCCATCGAAGGGAGCGCAAACTAGTCTGCACTACACCTCGGCTAACATAAATACAGGCTTCGGAAGGGCCACCTCATATAATCCCCATATTCCTCGTAATGGAGAATCAATTGGAAAAGGAAATGGAAAATGAAATGGAAACTGGGATTATATGGGGAATTATAGGAGTTCTAGTCTGAGTGGAAGGGCAACCTCATATAATCCCCATATTTCTGAGCTATGGTCTAAACTCCTAGTATCCCCCTCCATAAGCTATGTAGGGTTATAGCATTATTTAGGGTTTAGGGATATTATCCCCCATGGAGAATCAAATGGAAATTTGAATGGAAAATGAAATGGAAAATGAAAAGGAAACTGGGATTATATAGGGGATTATAGGAGTTCTAGTCTGAGTCTAAATCCCTAGCATCTCCCTTAATAACCCGTATCCTAGTCCCCTATATAACCTCCCTTTGAGGAGCTTAGACTATAGCTCATCTGATATATCCCAGTATTCCCTACCCTATTGTAATGTAGTAGTGAAGGGCCACCTTTGGAGTAGTGTCCATTTTCTTCTCCATGACCCTATATAGCCCTGTATAACCCCTTTGCTCCTGCTAGTATACCCCTTAACGACCCCTATAATACTCCCCTAAATAATCCCCTGTGCAATCCCCTTTAAGGAGTTTAGACTACAATTCATATGACCCCGAGCCTCCTAGGCCATTAGGCCTGCATCCAAAAGGCTCGACCTTAGCTGCAGGAAGGCGGTACCGCCACCACGCAAAGGTCGATGGCCGAGCAGCGACTGAAACTCCTGGACAGGTCACAGATCAAGTGTGAGCGAAAAAATCATGAAAGACAGCTGAATGAAACCTACTTCTGTAATGTACTATAATATACTACGATACGGGTTTCCATTTTCTTTTCCATTATCCCTATAACCCCTTGTTGCAATAACTGTGCTCCTTAATTTGGCCAAGCCGGTTTGGGATTTGGGTTTCGTCACAAGCGAGGTGCATCGCGAGAGCCATTACCAGAAACTTTTTTTGCAATAAGGGGCTATATAGGGATAGTGGGAAATGGAACCCCTGTTCTGGAATATTACAGTGAATTATAGTATATTATAGTCTCATGGCTGCGCTTGTGGCAGTCCATTGCTTCAAGCGGCTGCTACATGTTTACAATGCACTCTGTGCCACTCCATGTCCTCCGGAGTATAGTCAGCGAACTCATTGATCTCTGCCTGATGTCACATCTCTAAATGCAAGTTCCATTTGAGCATATATGAGCCATAGTCTAATCTCCTAGTATCCCCCTTAATAACCCCTATACTAGTTGCCTATGTAATCCCTTATAACCCGCTTTAGGGAGTTTCGATTCTGGCTCATTTCACGCATGCTAGCCTTCCAGCTGCCCTCTCGGCTGTTGATCTGCTGCACGGCAGAGACGCGCTCATTGAAGAGCGCCAAGCGACGCCTGGGCTGCTTCTAAGGAACTGAAATTAAGTTGCCATACTGGGTATATATATATATATATCTATATACATAGTAAAGAAAAATGTTTCCCCAATATAGTAACTTAAATTAAGTTGTTCAACAGCAACCCAGGCGCACATAATCCTCGCCAAACGCATCCACGCGGCCTGGCAAGCAGTGATGGGGGCACAACGGTCTTTCCTCCTGCTGGTTGACAAGGAGCCCACCAAATTGCGTCCGGAACTCGTCGTAGGAGCCTCTACCAGTTCGCAGCTCCAAAGCCCACGGCAGGAGAACTTGAGCCTTACCGCCGACAGGGGACAGGGTCTTCATGCGGATCCACCCATGGCTCTCGTGTCGCCAAGTGCTTGCGGCTTACTTGTTCCCACGACTTTCATGCAACGTCTGAAGATCACCAAGGAGCAAGAACTACACATAGAAGAAGAGTCTGTCGGCTGCTCGGCGCGGGACCAGCCATGACGTGCTGGGTTGATATGGATGATGGATTTGCAAGGCGCGGTACAACTCTTGTGTATGCGGTGCAGGTAGCACTTAGAAATACGTAGAATGATATCTCCAACTGCAGCTTATCAACCTGCCTTGCACCTCCAAGGACGGAGAGTACAGGGAGTTCTCCGGTGAACTGTCTCAAGACTAGGATCTACAGCTGGGCAGCGGTCGCAAGTGTCACAAGACTGTAACACTCGACGAAGTGTGCTGAAAACGTCAACGCCTCCCTCTCCTTCTTGCTGCCCAGCTGAGTTGCCCCAATTGGGCTTTCTTTGGGGAACTAAATTTTAGGCTGATGGCTTTTCGATGGCATGGCCGCGCCGAACACGACTACAGCTCACGACGCCACATCACCAAGATTCATAGTACAAGCGTTTGCGCTTCCGAGTCAAAGAACAAGAAATGGCTGGGTAGGGCTTGGGAAGAGTTTGGTGAGCCTGGCGCTCCAACATACTTGCAGGATCCTGGATTTTTCTTGGGACAAGCAAGCTGCTCATGCGTACAGGGCGTGAAACCTGAATCAATGGATGGATGGCAAGCACTAGCACCCATTGGAAACTGGCGGAAACTGTTACAGTAAGATCTGTCAAGCGAAAGACCAAGCTAAGTGACAGCTTCTTTGTACATGTGGCACGAAGCCTCGGCGCCCCGGTAAAGGCACAAAGTCAAACCGGCACCCACATCACCAGGCCGGTCATGAAGACCAGGGCGAAGAGGTCGTAAGACAGCTGCCTTTGGAGGTACATCTGTCGCAGCTCCTGGTCGGGCTGGTAGTTGCTACAGCTAATTTCTGCTCATCATTCCAGCACTCACCGTTTGAACCTGGCTGTACTCTGAGCCTCGAGGCACCAAGAATTCCGCAGCGGGCAAGGATGGATATGAATATGAATGTGCAAGCAACATATCAGTAGCAGACGGAGGTTCTGATGCTGCACATGTGGCAGAAGCTTCGGAACACCAGAAAGGAGCACGCTCGCGGTTAAATCGAAAGCAGGCTGCTACCCACTCCATTGCCTCTTGATAGGAATCTCTGATCAAGCGCCAGTAGTAGTAGTTTCCGTTTTCTTGTTCATTATCTCTGTCTCCTGCCCAAGCGGGCTGTCTTGCAGAACGGTCCACACGTCTTTATTCCCGAAGTCCCCGCACACTGGCGGCGGCTGCTCGCCTCAACAGGCCACATGTGCTTTGCATAGGGTTTGGTTCAGATTATTGCTGCTGGTATTATTTTCCTTCATTATTTTTACCATTACTATGATTAGTGGCATTAGTACTATTATTATACTGTTAGTATACTGTTATGAGTGGGGCTTTATGGGATAAAGGTCCCCTACAAACCTTCCTGAGTCAGCCTTTACTGCAAGGCACCGCAAAAAATGCCCCCTCCCTAGTAGGAGTAGGGTTTATAAGGTTTAGGGATAATGGAATAATAGAAACCACTGTAATGCATTGGAAAAGAGAATGGAAACCACTAAAGTATATTGGTGTTAAAGTCGGGATAATGGAAACAAAAAATGAAACTACTATAACCCTAAGCCCTAAACCCTCAACCCTCAAACCTAAACCCTCAACCCTAAACCCTAAACCCTCAACCCTAAACTACTATATATAACCCTAAACCATCAACCCTAAACCATCAACCCTAAACCCTAAATTCTAGACCCTAAACCCTCAACCCTAAACCCTAAATCCTAAACCCTACACTACTT